TTGGGGTGTTTGGCCCCGATCCAGGAAAACACTGAAGTGTATGCTTAAACCTAGATCAAGGAGATGTTCTGTGGAATTTAAAGGTGCGCAAATTCTGTAATAAGGGTTGTTTGGGGTTTTGGGTTTTTTTGGTGGGTTTTTTTTTTTTTTTTTTCCTGGTGATTTTCACATGAAGCTGCAGGATGCTTGGGCTCAGCAAAGCAGCTGGCTCTTGGTCTTTCTTTTGGGGAAGAGGGATGAACTGGCTGACCTCTTGAAGTTCTTCTCAGCCATGTTTCCTATGGTGGGTAACAAGGCTATTGAAATTGTGCAATGATGATTGAATGTTTGGAAGGGATATTAAACCTCTGCACATCAGCTCTCACTTCTGGAGATCAAAATGACATCTTGTGTGTGGGAAAGAGGCAAATTATCTCCCAGCTGCAGGGTTCCTCCATCTTGCTGTCATGTGTTTCTGGTTGCCCACTGACAGAGGCAGGATGCTGAACTAGATGGACCAATGTTCTGATTCAGTCTGGCAATTCCTGTGGTCCCCGGGGCCCTGTTGACTTCAGTGAGAATTAAACACGTGTTTAAGCGCTTCCCTAGAAAGGCAGGCTTTTCTGCGCCAGTCTCTCTGCCCAGCTGCTTGAAGCTCTCAGTGGAGAAAGCAGGTTTCTGTTAAGTGCTTGGATCAGCCCTACCACATCCTTTTTTGTTTTTTAATGGCAAAATCCTAATTTATAGTGCGCACTTCCATTTTAAAAATAAATCCAAGCTGTCTTAAAGTCAAGCCTTGCTCCATGTCACAGTTATGCCATCGGGTAGGAGGTTTCCATTAGTGCCTGTGGAGGGGACGCATGCACAAAAGGCTGGGAGAACACAGCAGAAAAAAACCCTTGAGCTTTAGCTCAAGCCGGCTTTGCTTCTAAACCTGTATGGCAAGAGTACTGAGAGGAATACATCGTGTGGCTCACGGCCCTTTGAAGTGGCTGGGTTCAGTACTGACAGGATGGCTTCCCTTATCTCTGCTCCTACAAAGAGGACCGGGAAATACGCCTGTGATGTGGGGCTCTTACATTTCAAGCCTTGATCAGGTTGACAGCTTTTCCCTTTTTTTTCTTCCTCTAGCGGTTAATCAACAAAAGCTAGTTGAAAGCAGGGAAATGCTCTGAACCCTTTTTATGGGTAAATGAAGTGGTAGGGTAACAGCTGTGTTTGGGTACTGCTGCTGATCCACTGTTCCGGGATGATCTGATGGGTGGGAAGTTTGCTGACTGCCTGTCCTTTCCTGTGTCATTACATCCGTGCAGAGGGTTTGGCAATAGCTGGTGTTTGTCTTGCATCCAGTCCATGCTCAGAACAAGAGTCCTGAGTATGTACGATTCTGTGTACGTCGGCGCGCAATCACCTCTGGCAGACTCCATTGTGTCCCCAAAATGCACTTGTTAGCAGGGCCTGATCCTATCCTTCAGAAAGCAACTAACTTCAAAACTGCAAATTTCATTTCTTTCTTCTGAGTGTGCCCCAGATGAGGCTTTGATCTGGGAAGCTCAGCTGAGCCTGACCTGCTCTGTGCAAGGATCCCAGAGACCAGCTGGCTGTGATTTGCAAGTCAGATGGCTGCTGCTCTGTGGGAATGGCTTTCTTGATCTAGAGCTCAGTTCTGCCTTTTAAAAGTGACTTGTTTTTGTAAACTGAGCTTTGCTAGGAAATGGTTATATGGCTGAACTAAACCCAGTAAAAAAAAAACAAAAAAAATTGGGGACAATTCAGATTTGAATGCCAGCAGTTCCTGGGTCCCTGCTTCCCAGAACTTTAAAATATTATCTACCCTTTGGAAAATGAGCCCTTTAAGGAAAGCTGAGAGTGGCACATATCAAACAGCTAACAGTCCTTGGAAAAATTAGGCTGTGCCTTTTTATGCAATACAGGAAGCAAAATCACTACAAATGGCGATACTGAAGCGTAGCACGAGAAAGTGGCTAAATGCCGTTCTCCGAGCAAGGCAACGCTTCGGCTTGGCAAGTGGGGCACTGCCCTGCGGGGCTGGTCAGTTGGTTGCACGCAGTCATGTTTTCAGGAGTTATTGCCCAAAAAGCTGTGAGTTATAGTAACTCATTAGCCTTGGGCTTCTGGTCTGTTTACAGCTTGTGAACTAATGGGTTAGTGACATGTCTCAACATGGGAGAGGAGTGAGAGGAAGATGGGAAGAGGCAGCTATTTCTAGATGAAGAATGTAATTTTGAGCTAAAGGGGGCTTTGCAATTAACTTCCTCTGTTGCCTGTCCCGGATGCTTTCCTTGTTCTAGAGCGTGGTCCCCTGACTTCTAAACCAGGGATCTAATTGTGGTCTTTGAAAGCATTTTGTGCCATAGCAAAACCAGGAGTAGTAACTGTGCATGATCATGTAAAAAACTTTTTTTTTTCTTTTTTCCTCTGCACAGGGACCCTCCAGAGGGATCGAATTTTTAAGAACCTCACTCGGAAACGCCAGCGGGCGATGCGAAGGCGAGTGCATCAGGTGAACGGACACAAATTCATGGCTACCTACCTGCGACAGCCTACGTACTGCTCACACTGCAGGGAGTTCATCTGGTAAGAACGGCTCAAACGCGGCGGTGTGGAGCTTCCCGTCCCTTCGTGTTTTGGCGACTGACATGCCACCCCCCATCCTGAAGGAGTCACCTGGTACTTTACCAAGGGCCGCCAATGTGACTTCCTTTGGCCATCAAGTTTAGCAGGGTACATTTATGCTGCAAACTGGAGTCTACTGCAGAGAGGCCAAAGGTGATGTGTATCTGGGATGCTGGAAGCAAACTGAGAGGGTGTGGGGATGGGGCAGTGTTCCTCACTTGTGAGGGTAGATAATATTTCAAGGGAGGTGGAAAAAGTAGCCCAAGCAATCTGAAGACAGACCCCAGATATTAACTTGAGTGGAGCTTTGAGATTACACTGAGAAAAAACAGTTGCTTGAAAGACTAGAGAAAATGCCTGAGAACAGAAAAACTATCGGAGGTGTGGGGTGATACATGTGGGGAGTGGGCAGAGCAGAGAGAAAAAGTTAGATATGTCTCAAAAGAGCACAGAGTGGGAGAGATAATAACAGGGTGTGGGCTGCTGGGATCGGTCTAAGAAGTGTGGTGTGTTGTAATAAAGTGAGGTATTTCAGAAACTAGAGTGAGGGGGAATATGGGGAATAACACGCATGTTGACAGCCTGTCCTGTAAGCTACGGCCCTCGCGGTGCTTTGCTACGCTCTCACACCCCTGCGCTGAATTGCACCATTATTGCGGGGCAGTTTTGCCCCAGGGATCTGGTTGTTTGGGATCCTCTTGCATTTTGGCTCTCTCTTCTGTAAACAATCTGCAAGAAGACTGGCTTTCTGACGCTAAATTATGTTCATACTTTGTTTTGAACAGGGGCGTGTTTGGGAAGCAGGGATACCAGTGCCAAGGTAAGGTGCTCTGCTCCTGCACGGTGTGTGTGTAGGATGTGCTGGCTCAGGAGCACTCTCCTGTGCTGCTGGGACACCTTGTGGTTACAAACTTCTCTAAGTCACCCCTCCTCTTCCTCCCCAGCCAGCCAAAACTGCATTTGAGCAGGTGTCGGGCTGACGGCTTGCATGCACGCAGGAGCAACCACCTACATTCATGCAAACACCTAGGGGTCCAGTTGCTGTGTTTCACCCACAGTTTTCCTCCTGTGCAGATCCACCAAGTTGCTGAGTACATGCAACATCCAGCTAGGCTTGAGAGATCCAGGGTCCCTTCAGGACAGTGTTCAGCTGGTGTCCTGGCTGGGGCTAAACCACGACAGCCGGTATTGGGAGACAAAGTATCCTACTGGAATGGCCACCCTCTTCCTTCCTCCACCTATGTAGTTCAACAAAGTGAAACTAGGAATGTGACTTCAGAGGGCAGCCTTGTGGGCTGGCGCAGCACTTTTGGCTGAATGCATGTTTTGGCTGAATGGCTGTGGAGATGTATGTGGTGCTTGTTTGCACTTAATTATTGTTCTTCCTTTCCCTTTTTCTATGGTAAGATTTTTTTTTTTTAATTTTATTTTTATTACTTCCCTCACAGGTATGTGGTCACTCAGTATAGCCTTCTAACACAGCCTGTTTCTTGCACAATATAATAGGGCACTGGTGTACTCATATGAAAGGAAGCTGCATGTAAACAAAATGGATATCCTGCATAAAATTTCTGGGTGAAGGTGAATGTTATCGGTAGACCTATGAGTGCAACCTTGAGCCGGCAACAAACAGAATAGCGTGGGACCCTGCAACACATCTGCAACGTACAGTTTCTGTTAGAAAAATCTCCTTATGTAGACAGTAGCTACGGCCCTTGGTGGTGCCTACAGTGCACGCTGGGTTATGGAGTGGAGGAATCCAAGTTCATTCCAGCCAAGCCACCTTCAGACCTGGAGAGAACCCAACTCTGCTTTAGGGCTGATTAACCCTCTTGATGGGGACTAGCTAATTAGCCCAGACACAGCACCATTCTGCTGCAGTTATCCAGCTCCCCAGGTCCAAGTATTGCACTGAGCCTTAATGACAAACTAACCTGGGCAGGACTCACTCGGGTATCTGGTGTAAGAGATGCTATGCTACTGAGATGTAGGGATGGCTTTTGATATCTCAGACCTGTGTTCTCTAATGTTGTTTGTGTATGTTCTGAGAAGTACTCTCCGCTGTATAATTTCAACAGCATTTTTTTAGTTCATTTGTGAAGCTACACTGTTATTTCTGTGGGCATCACCCATATTTTATATAGGCAGCTGTTTTCTAGGCTGTATGAATGATCCAGTGCAGAATTTCTGTTGCGATGGGTTGGAGATACATCTCCAGATTTGTTACGAGATTTTGGAAATCCCAAGCCACTGATTATTTTTCAGATCTTTACTGTGTCCTGATGATACAGCTGAGCCTTAAAGAACCCAGCTGCTGGGTTGATGTGTTCTGAGTCTTTCAACAGTTCTTTTCAGCATGCCTCTTTTATTTCCTAGTATGCACCTGTGTTGTACACAAGCGCTGCCATCATCTAATTGTTACAGCTTGCACGTGCCAAAACAATACTAACAAGACCGATCTCAAGGTAAAGTCATGGTGGTTATTTTGGGTCATCATCATTTGTGAATCCTGAGGTTTTCTGGGTTGCTGGGGGTTGTCCTATAACAGAATTTGCTCTGTGTTATCTTTATTCATAGATTTTAAAGTGTGGAAGAGTGATAGGGACATGCATAAAGGCCATGCAATATCATCTGGTTGTTCTTCTGTTAATTCCAGTAACTAGTAGGATGAGCACAGAGTTTAGGAAGGCATGGTGTCTTCATTGGAAGACATCAAGAAATAGCAAATCCACTGTTTTCTGTGGTAATTGTCTTTCATTATTAACTGTGTTGCCATCAAAATTTGGTGCCCAGTTCTTAATGTGGATTTCTCTGGCTTTAAAATTTAACCATGTTTTTTTGATATGCCTGTCTTTTCTGGTAATTTAAAGTGCTCGTTTAGTCAATGCTCCACGCCTTTACTCTATGAAATTATTTCTGTAACAAAGAACCCTTGCATACCTTGTGTTTCTGAAGGTTTTCTTTCTTGCTAGTTTTGGCTGTGTTTGACAGGAGTAACTTCCCCACATAAAACTGCCCTGTAGATTGCATGTCTCATTTCTGTAACTGGAAATTGTTTAATAACTGTTTGAGGAAAATTCAGTTGAAATATTTTTAATCTGGATGTAGCTCTGTATTGTGTGCCATGCAGAAACCTTCTTTGCAGTGCAGATAAGCAATTGCCTTTGCTCGTTATTTCTTGCCTCTGAACTGCTGAGCTAGACTTAAAACGACCCCTTGCCAAACCAGATGAAAATAAGTTAAAATGCTTAAGGCTAAAGTGCAAGTTAAATGCTGAGTCTCCTCACCCCTCTTTTAAGATTGTGAAGGGTTTATAACGCCTCTAAGCTACATTAAAAGAAGACAGAGGTGAGGAGGCACCGCTCACTTTCAACTCGTCGTTTCAGTCGCACCCCTGACTTCTCTTTGTGAAGCTGTGGGTTGCCCCTCAGTCTTCCAGGATCTGCATGTTGAGACACAAAATGGAAAGTAATGAATAGGTTCAATGGGGATGGGTTTCTTCAGCCGATCTAACATTTTCTAAGGTGTCTTTGAGATCTGCATGATTCACAGTTGGAAAAGAGCAAGGTTAAAAAGGAGATGAGAACAAGCGATAAAGTGAAAGGTGGGCCTGAAATGAAAGACTGTTAATAACAAGGAGAGTGAGAAGAGGAATGAGAGTTTTAGAAGGAGCTGGGAAAACTATTCTATATTAAATTTAATAAACTCAACAGTTTGACCTAAAGTTACATTTGCACGTAGTATGCAAGTTAATAATTTGAAAACTGGTTAGTTCGAAAATGCTGTAGCTAACATAATTTGTATGTGGCACGTCAGTGTGATAGGTTTGTGATAAGTTAATTCACACTTCTAATTTTAACTTGGTTTTAAGAATTTAAAATTGGCTAGGCAGCGCTTTTTAAAATCTGCTTTGTCAGGTAGTCCAGCCTGACCAGCAAATAAACCAGAGCAGGCTCGCAGTGGGTGAGGTTGGTCACTCACTGTTCACTTGCAGTAAACCTCAGTGAGGTGATGGATTGGGACTTTTCTGAGCTGGAATTATTTTCATAGTTTTGCACTTAAATGCCTGTATGTAAATGAACTTCAGCTTATACATACGTATTTGAATTTTAAATCTGTGCTTTTCTTTTGGTGCCTCAGGTGACTGAACAGAGGTTTGGAATCAACATTCCTCATAAGTTCAGCGTCCACAACTACAAAGTCCCAACTTTCTGTGACCACTGCGGTTCCTTGCTCTGGGGAATCATGCGACAGGGCCTACAGTGTAAAAGTGAGCAGCTTCTTACTGTAGCCTTTTCACAAAACACATATATTTTTAGACTCTCGATGTCGGCTTCATTTGCGCAACCTTTAAGAGAAAGCCGAGCAATGAATATTCATCTTTGCAAGAGTTAACAAAAACGCTGATCTACTTTTTAAGCTCAGGCTTCCAGCAGGACTCTACTTTGCAGTCTCAGCACAGCTTTGTTTAACTGGAATTATTGAAAACATTCTTGGGTATCGCTGCTTCCTGCATTCATTTTTCCCTTTACCTGAAGGCTTTTCCTCAGCTAATGAGATAAAGCAAACAAAAGGCATCCAAGGGGAAAAAAAGGTCATTGCTTTAGGTCGACTGCCCTGTCTGTCACACTGTTAATTGATGACAAAGCATGTCCTGGTGCTATGGTTTTGTTTCAGTGATGCAGACTGTAAAATCATATGGGTAACAAACAAGTTTCCATTTGCCTTCATCTCCCACAAGAGGGTGTATGTGTGTCCACGTGCGAGAGCAAGAAAGATTTTAGTTTCCCACTGAACAATATATCTTTAAAATTAGATACCTGCAAATGCAGGGGAAGTTTTTTGTGAATTCTGTGGCATTATGAATCCTAATTTTACCTGCAGGCATAGCTGCACTAGCATATATATGTCTGACAAACGTGTGCTTATGAATAGCTTCAGGCAATGTGGCATCCTACTTGGAGAGTTTGGGATATATTCCTGATTTTCAGGAGTTTATTCTGTTATGAGAGTCCTAATCTTATTTCTGCTGAGATAAGTGGCAAAAATCCTTTTAGTTTAAAGACACAGTGTAGATCCAGATAGGTATATTTCCTGAAGCAGAATTGCTAAATTATTTTTCAGCAATAAATCCCTCCAAGTTATTTTAATTGTTCCTTTGCTTTTACTTTCCATTCCTACCATCGCCCCTGTCAGTGTGTAAAATGAATGTCCACATCCGATGCCAAGCAAACGTTGCTCCGAACTGTGGGGTGAACTCAGCAGAGCTTGCTAAAACCTTGGCGTGCATGGGTCTGCAACCAGGAAGCATTTCCCCAAATTCGGTGAGTCTTTTTCTTTTTCTTTTTTTTTTTTTCCTCCTCTATTTAATACATTTACAGCTGAGTTATGGTAGATGGTGTTGGGTGGTGGATGGCATGAGTAGGGTGTTATTGTCTGTGGCTTGTGGCAAAGGCTTTACCTGGAAAATGGATGTCTTACATCCAGGTTTACCCTGATGGAGGCTTTAGTCTATAGGTGTTGCTCTGTTGTCTGCTTATGTTTCACAGTGGTGTGGCTCCATTGACTCTTTTATCTGTTTGGCATGAATGGAGGAGAATAAGACCCCAAACTAATTAACAGTCAATATAATTAATGCCATACCTTTTTTTACCTTTCCCGCAAACACAAATGTACTGTTTGCTTATGTGGCTTGGAATAGAGCATAGGAAGAGCTCAGCAAGAAGCCTAGGTTCTCTTCCCTGCTTTGTCACTGTTTTTCTGAGTCATTTTTGGGGAAACTGTTTCACTCTCCACTACAGTTTCCACAACCTCATCTCTGGTCTTTGCTGTCCAAGCCAGGGTCCTAGTGAGCTTGTTGCCAGGGTTGGGACATATGTGTACAATTTCTGTTTGTCAGTACTTGAGGCATCCTAAAAATCTAGCTGTTGTATATCTGGGTCTACTCAGAGAGTTTAAAACACACTGTAAGAGCTTGAGTGAAAATGCCCATAAAGTTAATGGAAATCAGAGCTGTCATTTGATAACAAGTTTTCATCATGTTTCCTTTGCTAGCTCTTTTGAAAAGTTAGTTTGCTTGAAACCACAATAACCCATAATAAAATGTCACTCTATTTATTTTTATTTGACCAAAAAGAAAATACTAAAGCCCAAAACATACTTGCCAGGCCTGGTAAATCTTGTCATACAGTTCGTCAGCTACATTGGTTGACCATGATATGGTATCAGCCTAGCCTTCTCATTAGGCTGTACTGGCCCTTTTGGTTTCAGTTGTTTTGTAGCAAATGAGACTTTCTTATCTTCACTCTTCATGCTGTAGCAGTTCAGGGGGACAGTTATCCTGGGAGTTACAGGGAAACACAAGTCCCACACTCCCTTCTCAGTTCTGTAAAAATCAGCACTTGTTAGTATTTGTTGTTTGCATGATCTGCACATCAAAAGGAGCTGAAACCAGGAAAATAAAAATCTGTGTTTGGTGTTTAACAATCTCTTCTCATTATTTGTGAGCTAAAGGCTCGAGGTAAGTGTTCAGACTGTGCTGTAAGCTTAAATCTGTTGGGAGTTTTGCTGGGTGCTGTCCTGAATGCTCTTGGTTCTTTCCCCATGGCTGGGGTTGCCATTTCTGTGGCACTGAGACAAGTCTTCTGTGCAGGAAGAATTTTGCTTTACGCCAAAGTAGTCACAAGGTGGAGCTCAAGAAGTCCGTGTGACTGTTCCAGCTAATAAACTGAATAAAAGTGCTTGTGGTTTATATGCGTACTCATACCTGGAGAGCTGTGAACAGAGGGCAATGGAGGTTGACTTGATCTTCGTATACTGCAAGAACAGAATCTCTAGAAATGTGTGCTAATACCATTACAACTCCTGAAAATGCAGACACCTCACTGCTGGCATGGGAGTGAACAGCCTTCCATCGAATTTACAGCAGCGGAGGAAGCCAGCAGTCCAGCCGGGGGAAGGAAAAATATTTTGAAGTTTGGGTCCCACTGAACTGGGCTTTGAGTAAGAGTCTTAAAATCAGGTAGAAACCTAAGAGATTCAGATGAAATTCTGCTCAGGTTCTAGATCTCGCCAGCACTTCGATATTGCAGAAATTATGCAGTCCTCCTCGCTCTGATGTTAGCTAGGAGACTTGGATTTCCACACTCATTGTCTTATTTTTCTGGGGAGTGAGGATGGAGAGAGGCAGACTTGCCTCTTGGATCTCCTGGGCAGCGGGTTTACAACTTAAAATGCCCAGGTCAGGAACCAGTGTTGACATCTCGGCGCAGCTCTGCGCACAGCCAAGGGCGGCCGGTCACACGTAACAGCTACGCGGGTGGTGGTACCAACGTGCTCTCTGCTCCAGCGGCCATACGGTGCGTCTGAACAGGTCCTATTGGCTACCTGTGCACACCTCTGAGGCAAAAGTACAATTTCTGTGCAGACTGATACTTATTTACTTTCCTCCGCAGAAACTGGTCTCAAGATCTACTTTGAGACATCAGGGAAAAGGCAGCGTGAAAGATGGCAACAACGTTAGTGACAGTTCAGCGAGCAAACTTGGGATCGAAGACTTAACCTTCCTTCGTGTATTGGGAAAGGGAAGTTTTGGAAAGGTGAGAGTTATTTGTGGCTCTTCTGGGGAAACCCACGTTCCTTATTTAAGAAGCTCCAAGGTAGATGAAGTTATTTCATAATGTGGCACACAGACTGTCCAGTGGAGTATGCTTTGTGCAACAAGGCTGGTTACAGAGAGCAGGGAGGAGAGGGAAGAGAAAGCAAGCTGACAGCAAAGTGAAGAATTGGATATTGCAAAAAAGAAAAAAATTAGCAACCCAAGGAACAGCTGTGTGCCCATACCAGAAATTGCAACTGTGTGCATTAGCACTCATTTGGGCAGCATTTCTTGGAGCATATACAGACTTCTCCTTTAAAGGCAACAAGGCAGTGGTTTCAAATGCAGTGAAATGGGGGTTTCGTTTCTCTGCTTTGCCCCAAAACCAATGTGAAATGGCGCATTTTCATCTGATAACTGACGAGGGAAGAGGGATGGGTGGCACCACTCAGGGGGTTTGCCCTGGCACAGTGGATGAGCTTCAACCAGCTAGCCCTGTGCCAGACATTGGAGCAACACGTGTAGGCATTTCTAGCCAGAGAAGCCTTCTGCAGACAGTAGCATATGTGTCATTGATTGTACACTGATGCCCATACTAACAGGCTGACTCACTTGCATCCACAAGCCTGGTCATGAGATAACTGACCTTTCTACCGTGAGAAGGTGCGAGAGGCTCTGTGTTGCTCATAGAGACTGAGGGCTCAGCCCTTGCGATTCACCCTCCCCTTTGGTTTAGGTGATGCTTGCCAAGATGAAAGAGAGTGGGCAGCTCTACGCAGTGAAGGTGTTGAAGAAGGACGTCATTCTCCAAGATGACGATGTTGAATGCACCATGACCGAGAAACGCATCCTTTCCTTAGCAAGGAACCACCCATTCCTCACCAAGCTCTACTGTTGCTTCCAGACTCCTGTAAGTATAGCCCGGGCAGTGGACAGCCTTCCTCCTGACACTGGCTGGCACGTTCAGGACAGAGGCACTCTCCTGTGTATTTGATCCCTGGTCTTTTATAATTGCCCACCTTAGATCCAGGAGAAAACTGTGCTCAAGAGTGAACAGAGCACTCTGCTATATTCCACCTCTAATATCTGCTGGGCATTTGGCAAACAAATTCCTGGCCTGTTCTAGGCTCCTTAACAAAATGGTAATAACAGGGAAGCCTTTCTTTGTGTCTTCCCTAGAAACTCGTCTGTGCCATTGAATGTTTCCAAATGCATATGCACAAATGTCTACAGACCTGCAGTGTCCTCCAGTTGCTGTGGGATCTCAGGCTCTGCTGTCTTGCTACGTGAATTTTAACAGGATTGTATTTGCATTGAATTACCTGCAAAGTCAATGAATTGTACTCAGAAGCAGGGGTAGCCTCCTGTATCTACCAGCCTTTGTATACTGCTCAGAACTGAATGAAAGATCCATCTGGGGTTACTGGAAGGGATCTTACTGACACGGGTGGACACTGAATCAGGTCCATATACAGTGTGTATTTCTTCTCGTGTAGATAAGACAAATGATAGCATTGCTGTCAGTTGTGGTATGTATACCTCAGCAGAGGACTGCACATGCGCTGCCTGTCCAGCTTAGAGCCTCCTCTGGTGTGTGCCGGTGGGTGGGAGCTTGTTGCTGATGTGGGTGGTGGAGGGAGGAGTGGCTGTGATGGAGGCAGTGGCCGCAGCTGTGTCCCAGCAAGGTAAGTTTGGGAGTCCCTGAGCTAAGCAGTTATTAGGACCAAAGCATTTTCTACAGCGTAGCTCTTTCAAACTGCCTGGCTCTTTTCCAGTTGCTTTTTGTCCATTGCTAAATGGTAATAGAGCTTGTTTTCCTCTTAGAAGAGGCAGGAGAAACTTGCCCTTTTAATTGTGGCTTCACTCCTCCTACATAAACCCAAAATACTAAAAAAAAAAAAAACCCCAAGAGAAAAAAAAAGGCAGACAAATGCATCCTGCCACCCACCCATTTCTCTTCTCACTGGGGTGATGCAACAGGCAGCTATGGAGTTTAAGAGTTGTGCTTGTTTAGGGTGGAGCCCTTGACTCACATAATAGAAATGAGGTGGTTTGTTGGGGTTTTTTGTTTTGTTTTGTTTTTTTTTTAAATATATACAGCTTAAGTGGTTCACAGAGCAGCTGTGCTGTATTGCAGAAACAAAAACTTAAAGCTCACTGTTGTCACTAGTAACCAAGGAACCTCTGCTTTTATTTCATAATATGAAGACACAGGGCCCAAATTTTAATGGCTTTCCTGAAGTTCTCATGTAAAATATCAGAAAAGTATTGATGTGTGCTGTTTGAGGTCAGATGTGGGATAGCAGTGGTTTTTGCCACTCATTGCTGTGCTCTTTGCTATGGCTTTGCTTACTGAATTGCAATGTGGATGTGAAAATAGCAAGTGTGCTCCTGGGCTGTGTAGAGTATTTCCCATGAGCTTAGGGAAGATTTAAGGTCACTGTGCTAGTACCATCCGTCATGTTCAAAAAATGAATGCAATCTGCTGTGGGTGCAGACAAGGTCTTCTGGGCTGATGAAGTAATTGCAGAGTCTTTTGCAAGGGATAAAAAAGGGAAGAACTCAGCCTGTTTAGACTAGCAAATTGAAAGCAAAAAGAGGATCTGATTGATGTCTGCAGATGTCGAACACTGAGGAGGGAAACAAAGCTGTCAGGATGCTGGCTAAGATTAAATGAGTCTAGACTGGCCATGGATACACTTAGACTGAAAATGAAAAGGAGGTTGCTAAACAGTAGAGCAGCCTGGAACAGGAATTGCTGGACCAGCTTCTCATCAGAGGAGCGGAGGGAAGAACCCCTCAGCCCTTGCTGTCCTGAACGCAGAGCTGGTCAGTCTGTGAAAGGGTGCCAAGGGAGTGGTGCTTGTCGTAGCAGGACCCTGCTATTTCCAGTCTTTCCCAGGTGCCTCTTTTACTTGTATCAACCTTTGCTTCATTATCTGGATTGTCAGTAACAGACAACCACTTCCCTCCAATAATAAACAAAACCAAAAAAAGAGAAGTGTTTACAAAAGAAAAAATATTTCAGACTGATGTGGTTCATTGCATCTTTTGTCTGTGTTCTGCACTCAGTGACACCCACCTCAATCCAGAATAACCAGATGTAAATTGCTTATAAAAGCATAATTAAATCCCTTTGCTATAATAATGATTGCAACAGCAATGGGACAGAGTTCTTCCAGGAGGGCTTACCCATGCTGATACAGTACTTAGGGTTTCTGCTTGTTCTTTACATGGCATTGGGTTAGCCCCTCCATTAACACAACCTGGCAGAAAATAAAATAAATATATATATATATA